ATCGTACACTCCCAAGATCCAACAATCATCGTGTCAGCAGCTAGATTACTCAAACAAAATAGCAACACGTGCTCTGCCATAGCTCCACACATCCCTCGCCCGAACCTAGGAAGCCACTAGGAAGTCACTAGGGAGCCAAGTCCTGCTCACAGGTTCTCTTGGCTTTTCTTCAGGTGAACACGTCCAGGAATCCAGTATCCGCAGCCGCCGCAGTAGTACTGTGTAGTATTTAGTAGCAGTAAATCCAGGTTGTACCCATCCGTTGTCCAAACAAAGTTTTGTGATTCCGTGAGAGGAGATACCACCGCCGTCGAAGGGTCGAAGGCACTGTCTGCCAGATGTAGGCTGTGTGATAGATGGTGCCACCTATGTGTTCTTAGCCTGCCCGCCCGTGAGGATCGTGACGAGGCCGGTTTGTGTGTGCGTACACGGAGGAGGGCTGCGCGCTTTCAAAATGTTGTACGTTGTACCTCTCTTCTAAACCAAGGAAAGGAAACGCCAGAGTAGAGGTGTTGTCACCGCGGCAGCAAGGACACAACCGCGAGCAGTAATTCCGCCCAGAAAGTATGTGTGTGTTGATTATCTGAACATGATTGATGATTAGCTTCACCATTCAATGTCACAAGTGCCTTTTAGTAAGGAGAAGACCACATAGATAGAGTCAAGACACATGAAATAGTTGAGAAGCAGATGCAGAGAATGCCGGAGCATCATCATCAGGTCACTTGATAAGTGGAGTATTGCCGCCTGCGGAACACTTCCCGATCGCTGAGTGCTTTTGGGGTCGTTTTCGATTTTCTTTCGTTGTTTTTCATTGTTGGAAATAATGTTTTCCTGTACCTGTATTAATCAGAACAGCGCGGGAGGGTGGTCGAGTACGGACTACTATTTATGATCTTTCCGTCATCACATCACTTCTTCACCGAACGACTACCTAACAACCACCTTTACCTCGAGGCATGTACAAACTCATGCCTACATTGCGGGTGACGGGCAAACGTGTTCGAAGCTATGGCGGCAATGCCAAAGAAGGGAAAGTAAAAGGGTGTGGAAACAGATGCCAACATGGAAACAGCGTGACAAGAGCGTGGAGGCGTGCTGCTGCTTTCCCCAAAAGCACCAGGTTGTTTGCCGCTTGCTATTGTGCGATGTGAACGAAGGTGGAAGGAAGTTGGTTCCAACGCCATAGCTTTGCACGTCGTACCACTAGGATGGGTGTTCCTTGATGGAAGCTGCATGTCCTCAGAACGGCTATCTTTTCCTGCCTAGCTGTCTGTCTGACTGTCTGACTGTCTACCTTTCTTATATTCCCCATCCCCCTTACGCGCCCCGCTCCAATCGATTAACCTGGAAAACCAAAGTGGCGGTGCACAAACGGGGAGGAGTCCGTCGTGTGCCCTCGTGACCAGCCGGGTGACGCTAGCTTGATCGCGTCTTTTACCTTGGGGATTGCTGCTTTGCAGGGGACTTCACGCGCCAAGTCCGGTCCGGGTCCACTGCAAGAGGTACGTTGGCTCAGCCAAACCGTTTCAGCCGTCCAGTCTCACTAAGTCCGAGCTCGCGCAGGCCTTGTTGCCTTGCAACCAATAAACTAAAATTGCCCACCTTGCAGCGTATTGCACAGACATCAACACCCCCTCCTCTCGCCTGTGCGTCTAAGCTGTTCATCGGAGGCTACGACTTCAGCGACGGCGGGTCTAGCAACTCCACCGCTTGGTTCGGCCCGTTTGGGTGAGTGCCAGGATCGATTTTTCTTGCGTGGGTTTGGGACGAAACTCGCAACCAAGCATTGAATCCTCTCGTCCCCGCCATCTGAGAATGGCAGTTCTGCGCAGTGACGTGAGATGATTCACAATGAAAAGCTAAACCATGGAAGGAAAACCAATCGCTTCCCACTTCCGTCGTGGATTCCTTGCGTTCTTCGTGATTGTCTTGACACAGCCATTGCCGGGACAAGAGTGTCGAGACCGTCTACACGACGGGCACCAGTTGTGGGGACGACGGCGCTCTGGCCACGGGCGCCGAAATCGTGTTTGCCGACGGGCTTGCCGGCGGCGGCGTCTTCGCCACGGCGATGAGCCTCCAGTGCGCCAAGATCACGTCAACCTGTCTCGCCCCTCACTCCGGTACAAGCACCGCAGGCAAGCTACCGTACCGCCGGCATTCATCCAGGGTGACAGCAGCGAAGAACAGGAAGCACCAGGCCCCCAACCCCCTCCTGTGCCCCATGTCCAGAGTGGTATCTACCCGAAATCCGTGCGCGGGGCTGTTCCACACGACTGTTACGTACCACACGACTGTTATCTTGTTGCATCCACGTGTCTCCCTCGTGTCGAGAAAACCACACACCGACCTCGGGTCCCAAATATTGCACGTGATTGAATACGGGCTGCCTTCCCCACGTGCGACTTGTTGTGCCCCCGCTCATGACCCGTTGCTCCTTCCAGTCTCCGAAGGTGGTGGTGGAGCGAGCGAAGCCTCTCCACCCTTGGTACAAGGCCCCGGGATTGCACTATCGACGTCGTCGTCGTACTTGACTCGCCGGCTAGAGGAAGTGGACACGTCCGGAACCCCTTCTCCCACTCCTTCTCCCACCCCAGCTCCCGAGTGCATCAACCACAATGTGTGCGGAACCCCAGAGTATTGGGAGCGTCAGGACAGAATTGTCTACAGTTCGTTAATATCGGTGGCCTGTGTGCTATGTGCATGTTTCAGCGCGTGCGGATACATGGACTGGAGGAACACGAGGGTAGAGTCGCGAAACGTCATTGGACCGGACAATCTCACGGACTTTGCTCATATTAGACGGGCCTGGAGGGAAGGCGGCAATGGCTGGACCAGGACTGATCGTGTCGGCTACTCGTCCAGAAACAGCTGGACGACTCATCCTGCCGGCTTCCCTGGACACACGCCAGCACCAGGTGCGGTAGTGAAAATTCGGTGCTTGGTTGCAGATTTCCAGGTCCTTGTATCAAGCTGTCATTGTTCCCGGGGATACAAAGACAAGTCGCAGACAATGGATGACGTGCCGTAGACGGATGGATTGTTGAACAGCCCTTGGGAAGCCCAGGGCGAATCAGAAGCCCGCGCTTTCTCTCCGCGAGAGAGCGAGTTTGCTCCAAGCTAGTGATCGAATATAGACAACTAGCGAATAACAGCGCGCCCGAACGCGTACCTAAACATTGTCCATCGTCAGTATAAATGTAAATAGGTATGTCTCTCGGAGACAATCTCAACAGGACAGCCGCATGCCTCTCATGTTCGATAGCATGTCCGACAGAGTCAACCTATAGTGAGCTTTGTGTGCTGTACGTTTTCTTGAAAACTTTCAATACTGCGTTTGGACATCACGTTTATCGCAGCCACACACCCCTCACCTGCAGCACGCGCACACAGAACTCTGGAGACCTCACCCGACACCCCCACGTGGTATACGGACGCTCATACCATAGGAGTGGTTAGGCGTAGAGGCCTAGTAACCAACGTGTCCCAGCTGACAGTTCTGGAGTGTCCAAGGTCTGCCCCATTTTGTGATCCGAGACTCTCGTCTTTGCGTGGGTTGTTAAGTTTGTGAACGCTACTGCAAGAGAGGCACGACTCTCCCACGATGAGGTTTGAAGATCGGCATTAAACTTCAGGAGGCTAAACTACCCGCCAGGTACACCTCTGCGACCCTTACGTCGAAGTGGTGCAGGGAAAACTCAAGGGCATGGAGGGCAAAACACATGACTTGCGTTCCCCGACAGAGGTTGGTGTTCAAACAGGCCGTGCTCCAGGAATGGGGCAGGAGGCACCGGCAAGACGGCGAATAACAGTTGCAACTTGTGTGGGCAATGAAACATGGCGGTGTTGAGAACATCGCTGCCGCATGTCTTGATTCGCATATATATGTAGAACCTGAAAGTGCAGCAGTTTGTCACGATAGCCAACAGAAGCATTGGAACCTTGATTGGCGTCAGGATTGGATCCAGGCGCTCTTTGGTTCATCGCAAACACCCAAACATACACTTGATGCCGCGCCCAATCCTGCAAGGGCTTGTCGTATTCCTCACGACGCTTTGTTCTGGATGCGATGCCTTCCCAGTCGGCGAAATGGCTTGCAACACCCAGGTTTCTCGGGACACAACTACCTCCGAAATTCATGCTGCGGAAAAATCGTAACCAGACTTGTGCGTTGGATGACGATAGCTGGCAGTAATCCCACTAGTTTGGGGGACAAAGCGGTGTCTTTGTCGAGGAAGTTCTTGTAACGTCTGACGCGCTCTGACGGTCCCACACCACCGCTTGTTGTTACAACAAATCTCCCAACTTTCGTTTTGATCGAGAACATTCCAAGCAAATACATATCCGTCGACCAATTTTTGACAATAGCAGCGGGCACCCCTCTTTGCGGATCTCGCTCGTCGTCGTTCTTCACATCAACACAGCCGAACTACCGAAAACCCTTGAACTCTTGAAGGCGGTAGAGACTTGTGCGCCCATCCCACGTTTACACCCCCTTGCGCTTTCACCCACCCCTATGCAGAACAAGAACAGCAACAGAGACCGACAACATCTCAATCTCGGACGCCTACATCACCGCAGCCTCAGTCTCCCCGACGTGCAGCACCGACAACGCCCGTGGCGACGATGACAGGAGGCGGGCCGACGGCGTACATTGTGGCAAGAGTGCTAGATTCACAGTCTACCGCACAACTGCCCCGAGCGTATGGCTTCGCCGTGTCCGAAGATGAGGAGCAGATCGGCCCCGTGCATGTAGTATGATGAAACGGGGGCGATCAACGTCTGGGTGCAGCTGTGGAATCCGCAAGCTTCATGCAGACGTGTTAGTCAGCGGCTGGGGCGCAGCTGTGGAATTCGCAAGCTTCATGCAGAAATGTGTTGGCAACGCTGGGGACTTGTGTAGAGCGCCCCGGGCGCCGATGACGACGACATGACGGCAGATGACAGGTGCGGCCGCAGGTTCGCATTGCCTACAAGCCTTGGCTGGAATCAGCGATCATGGCACACTGAACGTATCAATTGCACCACCATACCGCTCACCGCTGGTGCCTTTGTGCTGCTGCCAGAGCCCTTTCGGTGAAAGTGCTCTGCCGAGGTCGATCGGGTGGCGAGAGAACCACCGCATGAGATGAAAATATTTCGTTTCTCCCGTCGGTATCTCCCTTCCAATATCTTCGTGTTGCCGCTTGTTTGTTCCGCCGTCGCCACCGTTTTTCGGGTGGATTGAATTGTCCTCGCTACGGCATACATCGTGCTTTTCCAGCCAATCACTTCCGTTCAAGACACACGATGAAAGGGGGAAACAGGAGTAGACAGCTGCTGGTGCTGTATCCGCGAAGAGATGTGGGTACCGTTAATGTCAAAGACAACGCACGCCTGCTTACTCATGTAGCCACTGAACATTTTCTTGTGTTTTTTCCGCCCTGCTCACGTGCGACAACTCTGTCGCCACCACCGTCTGTTCCCGCCGTAAGCAGCTGCCACGAGGTCGGCATAGCCACCCAGCTCGATCAAGAAGGCCTTAGCCTAGAGATGAAGAAAGGTCCTGCCGGTTTCAAGCATGCGCTTGTCACTCTTGGTCTCAGCGCGCCCCACCCCGGCGACGGCGACAAGCCCGACCGGACCTGCGGACGCCCACACTAATCGGTGGACTGCTCGAAGACCGTCGCCAGGATTCAGAGTCAAGCATCGCATCTGCTCTTTGTGCATGCATTGACAGAAGGGACTCATGGACGGTAATGGACTCGTCCATCATCCAGACTTTATCCGTGGACACGTGCACGAGGGTGCACGAAAGTCCCCGCGGAGCTGTTCATAGCCGTTGTCTGTGCGGGGGATTTTAACGACAACCTTGCTTTGCGAAGACTCGCATCTGCTGGGTATTTTTTGGGACCATTGCACGTTGGTGATGACATTGCCGAGCTTGGACAAACTCAACTGTGGACGTACTTGTAAACATGTCACGCAAAAGCTCGTTACTTAGGTTTCCCTATCCAACTCACGCTGGCATATGTTCTTGAACGGCAGCCATTGGGATGCTTGTGGGTTTGCTGCGGCGGGGTGGAACCTAGCACTTTAAGTTCCGAAGGATTATCGCGTGTGGATGTCCAACTTCCCTCCAAGTAGAATACTCCGGTCACGACTCTGTATGACACATGATACTTCATTCGTACGCAAGGAAGTAAGCACAAGATGCCGAACACTCTTAGCAGGATGCAGCGCACCCTTCATGCGACTCGCCGAATACCTCACGGCGCTTGGCGCTTGGTGATGTGACAGCCTGGTCCGGTGCGAACCTGGCGTGCTCCGTCCCGGCTTTGTAGGGATGCGAGGTCAATGGTCNCCGTGTTCATGTAGTCGCGGAATGTCCGTGGTACAAGAAGGAGAGGGAAGAGTGTACGTGACTGAGCTGGGAAAGATGGGACGTACAGGGAGATGTTTGAGGCATGGAATAGAGAGGAAAAGACGGTAGCTGTACTGGGGCACAGGAGGTGGGTTGAAAAGGCGGGAAGGGATATCGTTAGGATAGACTAGGGAAGACATTTTTGAGCCACCTTTGGCAAAGTAGAAAGGAACNCCCCCCCCCTTGGAACTTTGCAAGTGGAACTATGCATATGTATTGTTTGGCAGACAAGGCTGTCGCAACAAGGAGTTTAGTAACCGGAAGCCGACCGATTGGCGGCGAATCGTTTAGCTTCTGTCTTGTACTTTGCATGTCGGGACTTGAAGCTGGTCTACCTTAAAGCTGGGTCATCGCCCGGCAAGATCCGACTCTCTTCGTCCATGCCAATCAATGCGAAGAGAGGGCGTCTTCCTTGACGGACGTCGTTGCTGGTCATTGTGGAGACGGGAACTTTTTATAGGCCACCTCCGCCCTGTTATGCAAGAAGAGCAGAAACGTGGTGGCGGCTTGCTGTGCTCTCTATTGTCAATCTAATAAAACTGTGAGATGTGGATGACACATCGGGTATTGCTGTGTAGCTGGCACGGTCGGGAGCACATCATACCCGGACAGTCAAGGTCAAAACCGTTTTCACGAGTGAGTCTGGCACGTGACGCAATAAACCACACCAACTATAGACCATGTCGGATTGTCTTCCAAAACGAAAACCACAAAATAATTGACCAGCCTATCAGTCTCTGTTGTTGTTGATGTTGTTATGATGATTGTGGACCAGATATGTATGTCTATATGATGAGTGAATGGTGCCCTGGGTGGCAGTTTCCCGCCCATCACTGCATAGCAGTTGATGCCGGCCCTCCTGAAAAACATCCTTGCAACTATCGAGGCTCAGATTGGCGAATAACACGACAAACTGAAACCTACCGAACACTCCGGAGTTGATCTAGAGCATTGTACTGTAGCTTCGGAAGGGATGGTTGGGCTCCTCTGTGCTCGATCAATGAAAAAAAATCTTTTCATGGACCTTGCTCAAAGATATAGCATTAGGTTACGAGCGGGCCGTCATACGTTGTACAAGTAGGTGAGTTGGGGTATATTTGTATCCGTTTTCTTGCACCTCATCCAATTCCATCGAATATCAATGCGCTCGTCGTGTCTCCTATATCCACAGCAGTACTACAGTACTCCCGTTCAGTTCTAGCATAGTCTATCTACTTTCAATTGTTCGCCACACGCATGCATGCATGCGTCGTCTCTATACCATGCAAACCTTTTGTGCTTTCTTTCTTCGTCCAAGACTAGTATATAGAGGAAGTACCAAACTACGTAACAACTTGTAGGTATGTATATGTAGTATGTAGTAGTAAGTAGACACACATCATCAGCAAATAGATGTATAGTTCATTCAGTACAGCAGGTTGTTGGTCGATGGTATGTAAAAACCCTGCTTCCATCTATTTGCTAGTCGTTCCCGCCGAATTTTTCGGTTCGTGCGCGTGCCCAACTGCAACACACCCGCCGCCGCCCCCCCAAACCCCTCACTTCTCCTTCGTCACCCACACCACTCCACACCAAGCCTCTCACAGGACACCTTCAAGCCCGTGATCGTGATCGTCTTCCACACCACATCACACCAAGCCTCTCCCAGGACACCTTCAAGCCCGTGATCGTGATCGTCTCGCTCCACCATGGGAGGAGGCAAGATCGCGGCTGCCCTGACGGGCACCAGGACCTTCTCCTACCTCCTGCTTGGGTACGCCCTCTTTCACCTCGCCATGCATTTCGGGAAGTGGTACGGGGAGAACTTCGAGGACACCGACGACGGCCTGCAGCACCTAGAGTTCGTGATGCAAGGCGAGGGCACCGACGACGAGCTCAAAATCCGCACCTCCAGGGGCCAGCTGTTCCTGTTCCTGGCCTCGCCGATCATCCTTGCGGCGGCGCTGGGCGGCGTATACGAAGCGCTGTGGCTGTCACGAGAGGCCAAAGCAGGCGACGCCGCTGAAGCATCCAAGGCCGGCGGCTTCCTCGCCACCGTACACAGCATCATGCACTGCCAGTTCAGGCCTCTGGGCTCGTCGTACTTCCCGTGAGTGCCTCGCGAGCGAGAGTAGGTAGTGGTGGCAGCAGGGGGGCAAGCTGAGCCTGCGATCCAAACCTGCTGTGTGCCACAAACCTGCGCTTTTGTATTCAATTTGCATGCGCGCGAAAAATATGAATTTTTCAGGTTTGAGGACGTCCATACTATTTTGAAGTGATTGAAAATTGCAGGTTTGGTGACGACCGATCTTCTCTGGGTGCTCATGCGTAAGCTCGCTCACGAAGAATCTAAATAACAGGTTGTTGTATCGAGACCACCAGCTGGGGAACAAACCCGCTGATGATGCGAGTGTTGAATGAGCCCCCCACAACACAGGGAGAGGTCGGCAGCGGATTCTCCGGGGGGATTGCCGGTCCTCTATACCACACGCGCGGCCAATCTTTCCGCCCTCTCGGTTAGGTATAGTAATACCGCCGTGCGTGGCAGGAATATAGTCTAGATGTGCATTTGCACCAGCACAATCATTAACCACACCGGCACTTGCGTGGCGGGGAGACACGTCGACAGGCGCATGATGTATGACCAGCGAACCCCGCGATTCCCCGTCCTAGGTGGCTGACGGTAGGAGAGGCCGCCGCCATGTTCCTGTGGATCTGCGTCATGGTATCGGAACTTACGCAAGGTGTGTGTGCGTGTGTACTTGACCTGCACTTTTGTCGGGGCAAAAAGGAAAGAGAGGTATTTTACCACACACATGATGTGCATACAATTTTTATGCTGCCCTTATAGAAAAAGAGTCGCACACAACGCTCCTGCTCTCTCGAAAGACTCGAGCTTTCCCAGGCGGGCAGGGCACGAGGGTATGTGTCCCCCTGTTACGCTCGGTGCAAGCAAGCATGAGCAAGTACAGGAAAAACACATCATACTGCTGTATTTAGAGTATCCAACCGGAATTATTTCCCGCAGGGTCGTGAACAAAAGTTGTTGAGTTACAATCTCATTCTCCTTCCTCTGGCCAGTGTGACGGAGAACAACAGCAGTGTATGGGTGTTGGCTGTGCATCACTTTATTTGAGAGAGCTACCTACTCCTCTTGTCTTCCTGTGGGAAACATGCCGTCGGCATTGAAGTAGCAGTTGACGAGGGGCTAGGATGCCAGTCCCATCCTCGTGCTCCAGAGCGGATCTGATCAATACTACACAGAGAAACGAAAAAACAATCTGCTCGAAGCAAAGCAGCGAACCTGCTCACTCCCCAGTCTCTCCACAGCGCAGGACGTTAGAAGCTTGATTTGTGCCCGCCGTAAATGATACCCTTCTCGACATTCCATCACCTCCTGTGCAACGTCAGCACCCGCTTCAAAAAATTATTCCTCATATATGTATAAAGCATACAAAAGATAAGTGTCTGCAGTAAGGTCGTACCTCTGCCCCCAGTTCCTGTGCCGCCTTGTAGATGCCATGTACGATCATTTTCAGCGGCGTCAAGGTCCTCAATATCCGTCAATATCAGTTGCAACAGCCCGGCCCCCCTCCCCCCCTCACTCATCCTTCTTTCTAAGGTAACTACGTGCGTCGTCGAAATTGAGCAAGCACGGCGTTTTTTCTCCTTCAAGAACAGCCGCCCGAAAAAGTTGTACTGGAAGTATTTCGGAAGCAACAGCCCCCACACCCGATCGAACCACAGGAAGGAGCGTGTTACTTGACAACTTCTCAGATGCGTTCGTTCATGCCAGCTGGTCACACACACACATGGAACCGCAACAACGCAAATGCACACACGAGAGAGAGCCCTCACCGTCGGACCCCGGTTTTTCAACTTAAACGGGAGTTTGCCTCCATTAGTTTGGTTGCTTGTCTGCGCCCCGCCACGTC